ACCCTGTAATGCAAATTTTGAAATCATTTAATTTTGCCCGCGGAAAATTATTTAATTTGAATGTTAAAATTAAGTCAAATTTTGACTTCATAGTGCGCCAATTAAAACACTTGTAGAATTTGAACCACTCAATATAATTTGATAAATGTAGCCAATAGTCACACAAAACTCTGGACAAAATTTCAGCCTAATTGGATGACTGGTGTAGGATTTATTGCAGTTTTAGTTGAAGTTTTGTCAGTTTTTTACTACTTATACCTCAAAGCGTTTCTGATTATTTTAAAATTCGGTCACTATTTATTAAAATAACGGTTACATGAGTGTTCTACTATGTAATACCAACAATTTTTGTTGAAATTATTTTATCGGTACATCTACAGTTTTCATTTTATAGACCAAAATAGTGAATTTCTACTTAAAGCGTGATTTAAATAGTCTTATGCTAATAGTGTCGACACGGTCTTCAAAGTGGAGGGGGTCAACCCCTCAATTTCTAAAATAATTGTCTATACTTCTAAAACAAAAGATCCTTGCAAAAAAAAAGTAGGTATCGTTTGGTCTTTGTGCTATACCTTACGGTATCGATATCGATACTAGTATCAAAAGATATCGGTTATGTTGGTATTGTTTGGTACCGATAGTATCAATTGGTATTGCAACTCGGGTCATCATTAGAACTTTCACGTTATTTGTATAAACGATTAGTAATTTGAAATAGTAAATTCGTATAATTAATGAGATACATAATGGTTCATTTATTATAAAAAAAAAGTTCTCTGAGCTGGTTGCATGACATCATATTATCATTTAAGTCCTCATCTGGTATCTTTGTTTTAATTTAAGTAATTGTGTGGAACCACTTCTGTATTTTAGTTTCTCATCTGTTATCCTTATTACAATTTTTTCTACCGTGATTAATAGGAAAGAAAAGATTTTTAAAATTTTTACAAATAATTAAATGTTAAGCAGTGTGTAAGGGGCGAACAAAAAAGTAAGGGGTGTGTGGATGGTATTCGGGGAAACTACCCCCTTCCCCTACCTAAGAAATATCAAACTTCAAAATATTATTGATAAAATTAAAAAAATAAGAAAAAATACAAAAAACTTATAAAACCATTCAATATATTTATTATTACTGACTTTCTTATAACCTTTCTAAAATTATTCTAAATATCAAATGAAACAGTTATTTTATTTTTAAAAAACGTAAATCTTATTTTTTATATATTTTTTGGTCCGACTACCCCCCTAGAACAATGACCTGGATCAGCCCCTGCAATATGTAGTTTCCCAAATCGTTATTCCAACTTTATCGAACTTTTATTCCATTCAAGCGAAAATTTTCTGTGCGGAATTAATCTCCAAGGGAATAGTTTTGCAATCATTAAAGAGTGTTTTTCATATAATTCTCCAATGAAAATTGCTTCTGATACAATGGTGAATGATTATTCTAAACGAGTATTAGAAATGGTTGTTCAAAGTTTTGTAACTATCATTAAAAAGAACTTTCATTTCTCCAAAGGAAAATCTCTTTCAATTCTCCAATGGGAATTGCTTGTGATGCAATCGTTAATGATTATTCTAAACGCTTATTAGAAATGATTTTTCAAAGAAATTGATTTCGTAACAGTCATTACAGTTATTTTAGTTTAATTAACTGTGTGATATCAAATTCATATTTTAATTTCTCTTCTGGTATCGTTACTTTATTAAATCTATCGTGGTATTGTTATTCTCACCTGGTCTTTGTTCTGTGTTCAACATTCAATAACTAAATTTTAGTTTTAAACAATTAAATATAAGTATACTTTAGTTATTAAAGAAAACTAATCTTCACTCGTTATACCTCTGGTATCAACATTGCAAAAGCACTTGATAACACACTCTCATGCCCTGAATCATTAAAAAAAATACCCAATAAGCTGTGTAAGTAAGGCATCAAATATGGCATGCGCTCTAAACAACAGTGTGTCTTTAATGACTAAAGAAGAAGGCTCTGTTACATGCAGTAATCACAAACTCAACACTGCACTTCAAAGAACAGTTGAGGGTACCCCGGAACTGAAAGATGTTTTTCTTAAAGCCAGCTCACTTACTACCAGGCTTCATAAATCGACTGCCTTCAGTGCTTCGTCGAAAGATGCTTGTTCCAGGTTAAATGTGAGTTACCACAAAATACCCTCCACAGTAACCACGAGATGGAACAGCCATTACGAAATGCTGCACGCCATACTTCGACTGAAGGTTCCACTAATATACTTACACAATACAGATGGTGATGGTTGGAAGAAAACCGTACCTACAGATAAACAGTTCCTACTCTTTGAAGGTATTGTTCCAGTGCTTAAATCTTTTGAAAAATTATCAGTTTTTTTATCTTTTGACGAATTGACATGACGCTGTGGAAAGTAACAGCACTCATCAACTTCATCGAGAAAGAAAGAAATAATTATGTTACTCATGGAAACAACAAATTAGTATAAAATTTCTTGGAGGACTTATTATCAGAACTAAATAAGAGATTCACAGACAAAAGCCGTAAGTTACCCGCATTTGCACTAGGACATTACCTTAATTCATTTTTTCGTGGACATCTTCTTGATGTTGGCGATGAAAATATTCAAAAACTCGTTGAAAACCATCCCACAACCAAAGAATACTTTGAGAATTCTTCATTGTCTGTCTCAAGCTCCAGTAATAATAACGGTAGTAACGATTCCGTTGCTGAAAATGCACAAGGTTGGGAGGAAAATGAATACAATATTATTTTAGCAAAGTATAAGGAATATACTAATTCACATTATACACACGAAAACCCTCCTATTAAACTAGAAATGAATAAATACCAAAAAACAATTAGATCCAAAAATGCAGATAAAATTGATACCTTAGCATGGTGGAAGCAGCATGCAGCGGAACTTCCTATCTATTCGGATGTTGCAAGATCTTGGTTGGTTACTCCACCAACCTCTGCATTATTATCTGAAAGAGCATTTTCTGCTTCTGGCTTTGTCATCACTGATCGAAGATACAATCTCGACAGTGACAATGCAGATAAGCTTGTATTTATAATGCAGAACTATTCCGCTCTTGAAAATTACATCAAAAAATGGTCCATCGAACAAGGCAATGAAATAGAAAGTGATATAGGACACGAACCAGACTTATCTTTGCCAATATTAATAGAAAAAAAATCCTAAAATACCAACGAAAGTACAGCAAAGGAAAAAACAACAAATGGATGATAGCCAAAGTATTGCAGATTATTAAAAACAATAACTAAATCTCTAAAAAGCAATTGTACTTGTATTTTGTTAATAAAAAATTCAATAAGTCAAATTTTAATTTTTTGTTTTTTTTGTTTTATTGAGAGTCTCGATTCGAGACCATGCAATACTATACGATTCTTTTTATTTTGGTATACGATTCTTTTTATTTGGTATCGAACGATACTGATAGTATCGACATTGGAACATAACCAATAACACACGATACGAGACCACCCTTCTCGGTATCGAATGGTATCGAACCGATACTGATAGTATCGACATTAGTATATAAGCGATACCACGCGATACGAGACTATTCTTCTCGGTATCGACTTATACGATAGCGATTATTTAGTGTCTAAAGGTGAGTTTCCACTCATCCGTTTTTTCACGGGAACGGGATAGATAATCACGTGAGCATGCGTAGTTTTTCTTCTGACATATTATAAGTTATTCTACGCATGCCCACGTGATTATTTTTTCCGTCCCTTTCCCGTTCCCGTGAAAAAACGGATGAGTGGAAACTCACCTTAATAGATATATGTTTATATCTGAGTCTGTATAGGGTTTCAAAATATTCGACCGGGTATTAATTTATGAAAGAAGTACATGATTCCATAGCGTAAAGTTAGGTCCCGTAAAATGTTCCGCAATTGTCCCGCTTCACGTCCAGGACAGAGTTAACATAATTAATTTTTGCATTTATAATTTAATTTATGAAATAATTAATATTTTTTAAATGTGGAGCACGATTTCACCTGGTTATCGTCGAAGATTAAATTTAAATTGGTAAAAAAATTATTATTAGAGATAATAATAATTTAAATTTATTAGAAAACACAACATTGAGTAGAGGTAATACAAGACATTTTAACTTTTTTAGACAAAATATTTTAAATTTTGAATATAAAAAGCTTATGTTAATGTTTGTTTTATTACTCGTTTAAAAACATTTCTCAGGAATGACATTCCTGAGAAATTTAAAAATTTAAAAACATTCCGAAATTTTTTAAACGAGTAATATAATATAAGCTTTTTATATTCATAATTAAAAATATTTTGTCTAAAAAGGAATTTCCTCTACAAGCACGCTTTAAATGAAGTATCAATTTCCACGTTTGTATGTTTGTTACTGTTTAAATTTTTTTAGTTGTTATTTCTCAAGAAGGAAGTTGGGTTACTGTAGAAACATACGTTGAAGTACTTTTTTTGATACATAGCTACGAAACAGAGGCTGTATCAAAGTTTTCATGCTATAGTGCTGCTAAAAACTATGGAAATATGGTTATGACAATTTTAATTAAGTGTTTTTAAAATGCAATTGCTAAATTTTAATTTTCTTTTATATTTGTATAGTTATTATTGAAAATTTTTGTTGTTGTTGTTATCTTTAAAAATTCTTCAGCAAAACACCACAAAATAAGATGATCCAATATCATTTAATGGTACTCCCTTTACGGTTTTAGGATGTAAAGTGCTTGATTGTATGCACGGGAATGATAGAAAAACCTCTTCTAAAGAAGTTTATAAAATTCATTTATTATTATAATATGTTTTTCTTTGTCAATTTGTTCCCAAAATAGCTCCTGTATTTAATGATTATATGTCTAAACCTTTTATTTTTGTTCTTTTGTCTAATTTTTTTAATAGGTATCAGATCACAGTTTTTCAAAAAGCTATTTGCTATAATTAAATTTCTTGGTCACCAAGAAATTTAACTGTAGTTTTCAAATTAAAATTTATGAAGTTTAAAAGTTCCCAAGTTTTAAGGTTTTATTTCTTTGTTTGTTTAATTTATATTATTGAAATGAGATTTAAGTCAGTCCTATATTAACTATTCAAGACATACATGCATCAACTTGAAATATAACCAATTAATTTATGCTAATTCTTTTTAAAATAAACTTTGTTTTAGATTGCTGAGGATACTAAATTTAGAAGAGTGCAATTCTCAAACCGTATTAAAGATGATTTGTCAAGAAATAAAGTAGTAAGGGAAAGAGTGTTTCCAGTTTGCTTTCCTTCAAAAAGTTCTTATACTGGTCCTTTTACTAGAGATGTAAGATTTCTTTTTTCTTTTTTGTGTAGATAAAGTTAAACAATAGATTTTAAAAGAAAAAAAACATTAAAGAGTTATCCAAATTAATTTTCATTTCTTGTTTGCCTGTTTTAAACATCTTAAAGTTAGTTTATTATTTCAAACATGTTATTTAACTTGTTTTGTCATATAACATTTATTAAATTTTAACAGTTATATTAATATGTTTCCATTTATTTAAACCAACAACAATAAGGTTGTAGTAAATCTTAATCGCTATTTTTATTGCTGTTGTTTAGGAACTTTAGATTTAATATTGTTTAAAATATGTATAAACTTTCTTGTGTTCAGTATATTTAGTATATCATATTTAGTATCTTGATCCAGATTACTTAAGGCCTTAAATTTAAATGCCTGCTCCTACTGATGGTTTTGTTATATACTCGGTATGTTCTTGTACTATTCCTAATATATGTAATATTGTTCATACAAACTTCAATATTTTCACCAGGGGTGGGTTTTGTCACTCACCAAGGAGGTGGCTAAAATGGTTTCTAAAAAAAAAGGTCTGCATTTTTTCACTTAAAAGTGACTTTCTTTTTTAACTTTTTGTACTTTAGTGTAATAATCAAGTTCATATATGTATAATTACCTATAATAGTCAATCCCAATGAGGGGGGGCAACTACCCCCATGCCCCCCTAAAACTCGCCACTGATTTTCACAGTCTGCTGAAGCTATTAAGTGTATTAATGAAGAGAACTGATCTATCAATCATTTTTACAAGCAATCAATAAAATATCTCATTGGAAGTAGGAAGAAGGAAGCTTGTACTATTGTAAAATAAAATGATATCTTTTTCTGTAGCATTATATATATTAAAGTGTACTTTATTTTAGATCAAATTGCATGATTTCACATTTATCCTTATTAAAACTGATTAGCCTTTTTTTTTTCCAGTTAAATAAGATGTCAAGATCAAACTGTGTAGAGTAAGTTATTTTTTTTTTTTCTAATTGAGTTATTTTCTAAATTTTCGAAATATTTTCAAAAATTTCAAATACTTCTTCGAATATGCATCTTAAATATGGAATTCATATTTTAATAAAGATATAAATTTTATCGAAAAAGTCCAACACAAAGCCACAAAAATTGGCTACAATAGAAAGGGAGCAAGTTACGAGCAAAGATTAAAAGAAACGGGCTTACAAAATCTATCAAATAGAAAAGAAAACAGCGATCTCATTAAAATGTTTGAACTTATAAACAACCATGATATTATCAATTAGAACTGCGTTCCACAAGTATTGGGTAGGCTTACAGAGGCCACAATCAAAGGTCGAGAAGACATTTTGTTAAAAACTTTTTTGTTGCGACCAATTTTTTTACAAACCATATACAGTGGGTTGCCAAATTATTTGGGACACTTAACTTTTTAAGTAATTTTAAAGTTTAAATGATTTTTGCAAGCAAATAAATTTTTTTAAATAAAAAGTTTTGAATGTATTTTAGTCACTAGTATAACTATAGTTGTTTTTAAACTGTGGCAATTTGTGATAACCCGATCTGTCAAAAAGTTAGGTTATTACTCAATTAGCTGTCAGTTTTTGAAAAGTGTGGTTGAAAGTCAAAAATTCAAAATTGATTTCAGTTACTTATTTTTGGAACAATTTTTTGCAAGTTTTTTGAGTTTAAAACTATTGAAACCTAAATATTCGTTAATAGTTCAATTAGTTTAGTTATTAATTTAGTATTTTTGCTACTTTTAATGCATAAATCCCTGACATACAACTATTCTTACCTCTCGTTAATTTTTTTAGTCTCCAGACTTAACCCAAAAAAAAAACAGAAAAGTAAAAACCTTACTTCTTCATTCTACACATTCTCAGAGAGAGGTTGCAAGCGTTTCAAAGTCAGTAGTGAGTCGAATTTAAAAAAATAATACAAATGTGACTCTAGAACCAGACCATGTCAGCAAAAGTGGCAGAAAAGGATCACTACTCCATGTTATGACCGTAAATTTAAAGACATCTGTCTTAAAAACAGAAAAAAAGTGTGGCTCAACTAGCTATAATTATAAACAATGAAGGAATTAACGTCTCCAAAAGGACGGTTCAGGGACGGTTGGTTGAAGAGAATTTAGTGTGTTATCGTCCAACCAAAAAAAGAATGTTTAACTAAAGCCATGAAAAAAAAGTGACTGGAATGGGCTAGAAAACACCAGAATATGACTATTGAAGACTGGAGTAGAGTAAATATAGTCTATAATATTGTAAGAAACCAGAAAAATTTAAGGATAAATATTTATTTTTGAAATACCTTTCAAATATTTTGCAGGTAAAATATCTTTAAAATGTTTTACAGGTCTGCTTCTCGGACCAATCAGCATTTCAAATTTTGATGGACAAAAGCTCATTTGTTCGACGATGCCCAGAAAAAAATTTCACTAGGACTGCTTTTTGGAAATGGTTCAACATCCTGTGAGTGTAGGGGTGTGGTCTGTGATCTCAGCCAAGGGTATGGGCTGCCTTTACATTGTGGAAGTAACCATGAAGCAGGATTGGTCCTGCCATATGGTTCCTTCCTACAAGCGATTACTGGAAAACAGGCTCCTGCTCCAGGTTTAAGAATGGTTTCCTGGTAATGAAGAGTATATGTTCAGCATTCCTAACTGAAAAAAAAGTGCATGTTTTGCCATGGCCAGGGAATTCACCTGATATTAACCCTATAGAAAATTTATGACAGTTCATAAAACAGAAAATTGCCAAAAAAAAATTATCACTACCAAGCAGCAATTGATAGAAATCCTTATAAGAGAGTGGAATAGCAACCTCAGTCTCCAACACAATGCAGAAGTCTGCATAGATAACATGCCCAGATGCCTGAAAGCTGTTATTGTAGCTAAGGGTGGCATTACAAAATATTAAGATTATTACCTTATTTGTCATGTTTTCAAACTTTTTATAAAAAAATAAATAGCAATGAATAAGTAATTATGTTGTTTTATATTCTAAATAAAACTCTCTACCAATAAAAACAATAAAAAAATAACAATAAGATACATATTTATTTATTAAAGTAGTTTGTACTTTAAAATTACTTAAAAAGTAAAGCGTCCCTAATAATTTGGCAACCCATTGTATTTAAAAAGTGAAATTGTTTGCATAGAAAAGTTGTCAATGCCATTTCAGTAATTGATTTCAAGAAAAAGTTTAAAGAATTTAGCTTTGATGAATTTGTTGATGATTTTTCAAGATTTTTTTTGTATTACTTTGTTGTGATATCTTTCTACCATTAGCATCTATCTACCTTTTGATATCCATCTATCTTTATTTGGTATGCCAGCTTTTATGCAATTCTAGCCTTCTTAAAAGTGTTGATAAAATGCAAAGAAGATTAGAGATCATTGCCTTAAAAGAAATATTTCAAAATAATGTGTGTCCAATAAAATCAAATAAAAAGTTCTTCCTATCAAATAAAATTATTTGTAATCATATGCTTTTGGTGTCTAATTATATAAGTTGTACACCAAATAAGTCTTTTGTGTTCATTTAACAAGTGGCTGCAAATGTTTATAATGTATTTGTTACATTCAGAGTTGACACATTTTGGTTATTTTAAATTTGTTTATAATGTATTTGTTACATTCAGAGTTGACACATTATTGTTATTTTAAATTCTAATAACTGTTAAGTTATTAGAAAATAAAGAATAGAGTTAAAGAGTAACAATTCGGTTGACACAAGAATTGAAAATTTGTAGGCTGTATGAGTTAGAAAAACATGATTACGGGAGAAAGTTCCAAAGGGTTCAATTAAGGGGAAAAAACTAAACAAATAAAATTTTTTATGGCATACAGGGACAGATACAGTAAAGAGGTGAGACTTTGCTAAATGACGAGTCAAGCAAAAATGAGTTTATGGAACTAGAGGTGAAAGCTCCTTTAAGTAGGGACCATGTTAGTATTTGTAGAACAGAGATGCAACTTGACGACGTTGAAAGAGAAGCTCTAGCTTGACAGATAGAGCAAGTACTACACAACTACATTTACAATGCATATTTGGACCTTATCTTGAGAAATAAGAGCATCATTGGAAGAACCAGTCTAAATATGACAACATTATTCCAAACAGGGGCAAAAAAGAGATTAGCAGAGGTAGAAATGAAATCGGGAGTAAGAAAATGGCAAGCACGATAAAAAGAAGCAACTTTAGCAGCTGCTTTTTTTTTTTGCAATTGTATATATGGTTTCCATGAAGGGTCATAAGTGAATAATAATCCGAGAAGAGGACTCAGTGAAGGGCGTACTATTTATCAATATAGGAATGTCAACAGTATTGGTATTTGTATAATATAGTTATTTGTAGTAAATAACTAAGTTTGGTTGAAGTTAAAATTCACAAGCCACGCAAGCCTCAATCTGTTACAGAGGTTAGATCAGATTCAAGATTGAATTTTTGTCAAGGCAGTAGTATAAAGTTGAGTCACCAGCAAATAGAGCCACTTTAGATGTAAGGTTGCCAGGAAGATCACTAATATAGATAAGAAAAAAAACAGGATTAAAGATAAAACCTTGAGGTGCCGCAGAAGTTACTGGAAATAAAGAAGAGTGTTGGCATTTAAGGATGACTTTAAATAAGTGGTTCAAATATTTATGATTTTTATAAAAACTGGAGTATATAATTGTATCATCAGCAAATTGAGCAATTAAACCACTTAAGAGGTAAGATTACATAAGATCAATACATTAATATAGAAAAAAACTCCCTTTGGTGTGACCTATATGGACAATATTAGGAGATAACGAGAAAGAGTTTCAAATTAAGGCTTTTTTTAAATGTGTTTTTATTGTAGGCTTATTCTCACTCTCTTTTTATTCGTAAGCCCTAATAAAATCTAATGATCTGTTTTTGAGCACTATCAATTGGAATATTATCACTGTACAAAGTTATTGGCTTTTTTTAGAATACTTATTACTTAAGTATAAAGACGTCCAAAACTTGTGTTGTTTAAAGAATCTTAATGTAAGTAAAGATGTTACTACAGAATAATAACAGTTTATGTGATTAGGAAATTATTTGTTTATTTAGTATAAGGTTCAAGTCTATAATATATTTTTTGAGTTATTGTTTTTTTAAACTTGTTTCCAAATAACTTTGAGTAAATTTTTATGTTATTGTCAGTCATTTATGTCAGGTCAGGTTTATCCTGCTACTAGTAACATGTAACCCAGTACAATCTGCTTCATGTCCTGCTGCCTTGTAGGATATGCCTTTTTAGGCAAAGGCTAGGAGATGCAAACTCCGACATAAAACACCCCCTGCCTTGGGGCTCTTGGTTGAGTAAAGGCTAGAGATGGTGTCTCGATAAAAATACTCATCTTAGGCAGATGTTAAATGCATCCGGTTGCTGTCTTGTAGAAGGCCTCCTAGGCAAAGACTTAAGGGGTAAACAGATTCTGTCTGTTGACCAGCCTTGCACCCCTTCCATATCTATTAGGCTGGCGAAGATGTATTTTTAATACATTGTTTCCAGTTTAGGATGTTGAACGCTGGATCATCTTGACTCGATTCATGGGTTTTGTTTGTGTCTCTGTTTTTATGACTAGGCAACTCATTCTATTATCTCCTAATGAGGGTACAGCTCTAAAACTCAGTATTATGGTTCTGAGGCCGGCTGGTAGTCAGGTTTCCCAAACTCTGTGGTAGTTCTCAGAGAGGTTGATTCCATCAACAGCTGTAAAATATTAGAGTACTAACAGTGCCATGTTGCGCATGGATGGTGTCTCTGTTTGTACTTTTCGTGTGCATTGCCAAGGCCACATTGGAGCCTTTTGTTACAGCTTAGGGTTTATTAGTGGAAATGAGGCAATTGCTTGGGCTATAAGACAGTGTACTGAGTACTATGTTTCGAGTCAAGTTCTTTAACAAATTTAAAAATGAATAAAGTAACAAAAACTATAACACAAAAAATACAGTCATCACCAAGTTCGCTAAACCTATCATTCACCAATATTCGTGGTCTTCGAAGTAACTTTTCTTCTGTTGAGTCTTATCTCTTGCAAAGTTAACCAGACCTGCTTGCTCTTTGTGAGACTAATTTGAGTTCAGCTGTCTCATCTTGTGATCTTAGTGTTGATGGTTATCTTCCTTTAATTCGTAAAGACTCCAATAGTCACATGCTTGGCCTGGGCATTTACATTCGTAAGAATTCACCCATTTGTCGGGAAACTAGGTTTGAATCCACAGACTACTCTTTTATGTGCTTTTGTTTAGCACCACTTCACTCTATCACCTTCCTCTTTGTTCTATATCGCTCTCCCTCATCTCAAGACTGCACTCTTCTTGATGTTATTTCTGATTATATTGACCAAGCCCTCATTCTTTATCCATCAGCCAATATTGTTGTTGTCGGTGACTTTAATGTTCATCACACTGAATGGCTTGGCTCTAGTGTCATTGACTCTGCAGGCATTAAGGCCCACAACTTTTGTCTTTCTCAATCCCTAACTCAAATAGTCAACTTTCCTTTTCGCTTTCCAGACAACCCGAATCATTTACCTTCTCTACTCGACTTATGTCTTGTTTCTGATCCTAGTCAGTGTTCAGTTTCTTCACACTCACCCTTAGGTGTGTCTGATCATGGTTTGGTCTCTCTAAAACTCTTATCTCATTCTTCTTTACCATCAGAATCCCCCTATCATCGTACATCTTACAACTACCTTAAAGCTGACTGGGACTCTTTCTGTGATTTTCTTTGTGATGGCCCCTGGGTAGAAATCTTTCGTCTCCCTGTTGACAAATGTGCTTCTTACATAACTTCGTGGATTCAGGCTGGCATGGAATCTTTTATTCCCTCTTGACGATTCCAGGTCAAGCCTCACTCTTCTCCATGGTTTTCCTCACATTGTGCTGCTGCAATTGCCAATCGAAACCATTACTTCCATATCTATCAGCAAAACAATTCTCCAGAAAACAGACGTCTGTTTATTACTGCTAGGAACCATTGTTAAAAGGTTTTGTCTAACGCCAAAGCTCGCTATTCTCAGATAATGAAATCTCGTATTTCATCACAAAAATTAGGCTCTCATAAGTTCTGGAGAATCTTTAATAGTATCAATAATAAGGGCAAGTCTGTAATTCCACCTCTTTTGTATGGTTCAGACTTTGTCACCTCACCTAAAGACAAAGCTGAATTGTTTGCCAAGAACTTTTCATCAATATCATCTCTTGATGCCACTAGTTGCGTTCTACCTGATATAGCCGTCAAACAGGTTGATCCATTGCTCAACATTCGTATCACTCCAGCTTTTGTATCTAAAGTGATTTCCCGCTTAGACTCTTCTACAGCTTGCGGCCCGGACAACATACCTGTTATAGTCTTGCAGAAGTGTTCTCCGGAGCTGTCGTCTATCCTTTCAAAACTATTTAACAAGTGCTTATCAGAGTCTTGTTTTCCAGCCTGCTGGAAAGCAGCATCTGTTATCCCTATTTTTAAAAAAAATTCTGGAGAGCGATCTGATTCATCTAACTCCCGTCCCATTAGTCTTCTTCCTATCATAAGAAAGGTTTTTGAATCTTTAATTAACAAACACTTAATCTCGAATCTCATAACCTACTTTCTGATCATCAATATGGATTTCGATCTTCTTGTTCTACGGCTGATTTGCTATCAGTAATAACCGATAGGTTTTATTGCGCATTAGATAAAGGTGGAGAGGTTAAGGCAATTGCTCTTGACATTTCTAAAGCGTTTGATAAAGTTTGGCATGCTGGTCTTCTCCATAAGCTTTCTTCTTATGGTGTATCTGGAAACATCTTTAAGATTATTGAATCCTTCCTTTCCAATCGTAGTATAAAAGTAGTATAAAATCTTCTTCTTATTCTGTAACCTCAGGGGTTCCTCAAGGTTTAATCCTTGGCCCTATACTCTTTTTAATTTACATTAACGATCTTCCAGATATTCTCACATCTAAGGTGGCATTGTTTGCTGATGATACTACCATTTATTCTTGTCACGATAGGAAGCCAACTCCCTCTGATTGCTTGCAGGGGGCATCTGAGCTTGAAAAGGATCTCACTTTTGCTACAGCATGGGGCTCACAGTGGCTGGTGAACTTTAATTCAGATAAAACTCAATTTTTTTCGGCCAATCGTTATCGCAATAGTTTAGACCTTCCTATATTTATGAACGGTAATGTACTCGATGAGTCTCCTACCCTTTATCTTCTAGGATTAACTCTTACTTCTGATCTTTCTTGGAAACCTTATATCAAATCCATTGCAAAATTAGCATCTGCTAAAGTTGCTTCTCTTTATCGAGCTCGTCACTTTCTTACTCTGGATTCTATTCTCTATTTTTATAAATCTCAAATTCGACCTTGTATGGAATACTGTTGCCATATCTGGGGTGGACCTTCTAATGATGCCCTTTTAGACAAGGTGCAAAAACGCATTGTAAACATAGTTGGACCTGCTCTTGCAGCCAACCTTTAACCTGTCACATCGTCGTAATGTTGCTTCTCTTTCTCTTTTTTACAAATACTATAATGGGCACTGTTTTAAAGAGCTAGCGACTCTTGTGCCATCTACTAAAATTCATTCTCGTGTTACTCGTCATTCAATTAAGTCTCATCCTTTTTCTGTTACTGTTCCTAAGTGCTCCAAAAACTCTTATTTGTCTAGTTTTTTTCCTCGAACATCAATTCTTAGGAATTTGCTTCCTTCATCTTGCTTTCCTGATTCATATAATTTGCAATCTTTTAAGTCGTCTGTCAATTGTTATCTTGCTCTCCAATCTTCATCTTTTCTCTTCCAGTAACTTGCAACACTAATTAGTGGTTGCTTGCAGCCTTGTTGGAAGCGAAGATAATAAAAAAAAAAAAAAAAATTATTATTTATATCTAATATAAGTAACAAATTTTTTTTTTTTTAAATGTTATTTTAATTTATGTGTTGTTAAGTTCTTTTTACATCAATCGGTCTTTTTAAATCAAAATGATTCAGTTTATTTTATATTTCTCTATATCTATATGTATGTTTTCTCTTAAGAAAAATAATTAGGAATAGGAAAATTAAAATATATTCTTTATATATTTATATTTTATATAACATTAAAAAAATATATTGTGTTTTACACAGGTCAGAAATTTAAGGTTTAAGTTTACTATCCGAGTACCCCAAAAATGTTAACAAATATAGTAAGTGGGGCATCTGGACACTTCATTTTCATATTTAGAAAAATCTGGGAGGTATCACATTTTTAGAAAATTGACATAGAAAATCTGCTAAAAAGTCATTATTTTCGTACTTAAAAAAACTAAATACATTGACGGAACAGTAAAATTAACATAAAATAACTTTATATTCCAAGTTTTTATGCTCTTAAATTTTGTATTTACACATCAACTTCATTAGACAGCTCTTAGATATATCTAAGTTGGTGAAAAAGGTTTAGATATGCTTGAATTATATTAGGAACATAGTATGCTTAGTAAAGTAGAACATATTGATAGTATATAAGTAATTTAGTAAAATATTAGTATTGTATGCATAGTTGCCTAATAACCTAATATATATAAATAATAATAATATAATAAATACTAAATAAAATATTTCAAAAACTGTTTATACTAATGTATTTTTAGTGTCTTTTTGAATAAATTTACAAATTTTTTTAACTTTAAGATTTCAATAATGTTTATGTTTTGATGTAGAATTAATGTTCAATAACTTATAAATTATTTGAACTGAACACTTCAGCAATTCTTTTGCTTCTTTTTTTATGTTTGTTGCTGTACTGCGAGACTCCAAACCTGTTTATTACACTTTTCATCTTGGAATGGCAAGATTCAGATGTCTGCTCATTAAACTGCCCAAGGGAAAGGCCACTCAAATCAACAAATGTTTCCAGATGTGCTGTTACAGCATGTACTTTCCAAGTAACCGTGAGCTGTTTACCTAAAAACTAAAAAAGCTTACTATAAATATGTTTATCAATAACTTGGTTTTAAATACAAAGGGTAAAGAAAACAGCAATTACCTCTATGCAATAGTCTTGTGCATCCTTATAGCTTTGTGTAAAACTTTCAATTAAAATTGAATAGTTTGGGTCAAGTTTATAGCTAAAGACACCATGAACAACCTTATTAAATTTTCTCATTTTTTCTAAGAGAGGATACAGTTCAACAGGAATTATCAACTCAAGTTTGTCGCAACTTTTAAGTATCTCTCTACACGTGTTTCCTTCAAATGTTCCTCCATGGTAACCTTTTCGAAGGCATCCAATGCTCTTGACCCAATCTATAAATCCAGGCCAAAGTTGCATTATAAATTCTGCTACATGGTTAACAAATCCCATCAGAAGGTGAAGTTCTGGTAATGGAATCTCTCTTATTATACTTAGAGATTTGTCTTCTATCTTAAGCAGACAAGGATTAATGACATTCTAAATATATGGAAATAAATTTTTTTTATTCTTTTTAAAATGATAAAATTATAATGGATGATAAATTTTGAAAATATTTACAATATATTTATTCATTTATACCTTATATTCTTTCATTCTTTTTACCGGAGATCCTGCAGATGAATACAGTTCATAGTAATTATTCAAAGATTTAAATGTTCTTAACTCTCCAGAAAATAATTCTGAAGAACCTTCACACCATGCACAAGCATACTTTCCTCCATGAGCCTAAAATTTTATATTATAATTCAATTTATAAATATATTGTAGGGTAAAAAAAACCTTTTCCTAATATAGTTTTTACCATAATATGCCTTATTATTTTAAAATTATTTAAAATAAACACACCAAAATTCCTAGCAATATGTTGATTAACTTCATGTCAGAAGCCAATGAGTACTTGCATTCATGCAATTTTAATTTTTCCACAATCATTGTCATGTTAGAATGATTCTCACTTACCCTTTCACAATAAGCTAAAACAAGTGACGTATTTGCTCCTGAGTATGATCCTAAGGAGCTGCTATCTTCTGTCCTATCCTTGGTTGGATCAAACAGATTTACTATAACTTTCAGTGATCCTCCACCTATAAATATATATATGCTTACACACATACATATTTGTATATAAATATGTACAAATAATATTTTTAAAAACAAGTTTTTAAAAAAACAATTATTAAAATATAATAAGTAATATAAATTAAATAAATTAAATATAAATACCTGAATCTATTCCAACCTTTACAAATGTGTTTTGTGGAACCTGCCCTCGATATGTCATTACAAAATCCAGAAATGTTGTAATATCTTCAATATATACCAAGTGTCTCTTCACTGTAGCATAGTCATTATCTTTTTCCTTTTCTTGAAAGTCTAATAATTCAGTGACATAAAAGTTGGAAAGTAGTTTACTTTTTTTATCCAGGGCTTTCTCTATGTTTGACTCAAACTTTACGCCGCTTCTCCTCAATGTTTTTAACATTTCATATGACTTCAATTGACTAAGTCCTAAGGTATTTACTAAAACTTCTACTTCATTATAAGGAATCTTTCTCTGGTCACTTTCCCGAGTACCGAGTGTAATATGAATACTTTTACCTCCTTAATATAATATAAACTGTTATTTTAAAAACGTACATAACAGCTATTTTTATTTAACAATATTTTACCTGTTCTGAGAATGGCTTGAGCTCCTAGACTTTGTTCTTGATCAGAATAAATTTCTTTTAGAAGGGAAGAAGCTACTTGTTCTTTTACTTTTTTAGAAATTTTAGAAATACTCTCAGAAAGATTTGTGCTACTCTTTAAAGGGGAACATTTGTGGGGTTTACCTTTAGCAATTTCATAGAAACATATTTGGCAAAATTTCAGTGTTGAACTAGTTCCCTTTTTCATACTTTTATTTAATAACCTATTTCTTCCTTGACTGCATATACTGCATAATATTGAGCAATCTCTAGAGGTTTGCAAGCTAGACAAATCAGAATTTTTCCATTTTAAAGTAACTGTGTCAGCAATAGTTTTACCAGCCTTACAGAGATATAAGTTTTTCTTGCAACCTGGGCATAATCCTGTAGGGTAGGCAAATACTTTAAGTGAAAACTCAGGCTTACAGAAAACTTGAACCAGGCCTTCCAAATTTTTATTAACTGGAATGCATTTGTTGTTCTTTTCAAGGCAGCAACAGCAAATTATTTTTTGAAAAAGTACATGATTTCTTTTAAAATGGTATTCTCTCTTCTCCTTAGAGAGCAGAGGAGCCATAGATTCAATATATTAGGTATCTATAATAAAAATAAAAATAAAAATGCATAGTCAAAAAGAAACATTTTTAATAAAAAATGTTTTTTTGACCAACTTTGTGTATTCTAATAATGTTTATGTATAAATATTAAATTAAATACCTTGAAAAGTTGGTATATGAACATTTTTTTAAATAAACTTCAACTTTCTGTCAGTATATTTAGTTTTTTTAAGTACGAAAATAATGACTTTTTATCAGATTTTCTATGTCAATTTTCTAAAAATGTGATACCTCCCAGATTTTTCTAAATATGAAAATGAAGTGTCCAGATGCCCCACTTACTATATTTATTAACATTTTTGGGGTACTCGGATAGTAAACTTAAACCTTAAATTTCTGACCTGTGTTTATAGTTAGTATATATGTTCATAATGTTGTTTCCATGATTTCAAATTGGTGTGACTTGGCAAACTTGTAGAGCAATATTTGTCAACCTTACCATTCAAGCAATGTTACTGCTTTAGGTCTAAGTTTTGTCTAGCCTTTAATATAACTATACTAAAAAATACATAACATTATCTTTGATAATTTTATGCTTAATGTTGTCACCTTTGGCTTATCCTTATGTTGGTGTCTGTTGTTTAAATATGAATAATAGGTAGTTTCATTACTAGGACTCACTGCTTTTATTTATTTACTAAAAGTCATTCAAGACATCATTTCGCTATAAATACATTTTGTTTCATGAAATAAAAATATTTAACTACAATTCAGGTATCACAACAGCTTATCTCTTATCAGGTACATTGATTTTCAATTCACGTATTATGTTTTTGTTTGTATTTACTTATTCGTTACATTTTTTAACTTCAGATTTATCATATGGTGTATTTATTTGTTATAGAAGAACAAATCATTTTAAATTTTTATGAATTTTTTAAAAATATCTGCTGGTAATTAGTCCAGTTAACATTTAAAGTTCAATGTTGCATATACCATTTTTAAGTAGTTTCTAGGCTTTTTTAAATGCTTTTCTTATTTAAGTGGTTTTACTAGCAAGGTCTGCAAGTAAATTAGAGCAGAAAGTCAAGGAGAATTAATCTGTTTAATTTAATTTGTTTAAATAGAGTAGTTTAAATAAATAAATGTTTGTTTGTTTTTCGTTTTTTACTTATTTGTTTTCGGATTCTTAAGAACTAGGCAACTTAGTAGTGGTGCGAAGGTAAAATTTACCGGAAAATTTTGAAAATTTACCGCCTGGTAAATTTTAAAATTTTTTTTCAATTATTTTTTTTTCTTTTTTTTTTTTTTGGTTTTTGAAAGGAAAATTTACCGTTCTCTAATTAAAATTTACCGGTAAATTTTACCGGTAAATTTTGAATCAAATTTTACTGGAAAATTTACATCACTACAACTTAGAGAAGCAAGATTTGTTCTTTTTTTAGTACAATTAGAAAGAGCTGAAGTGCTTTTTAGTCACTTCAAATCAATTGTTTGTTTGTTTTTTAAATAGAAGGATTAATAATAATAAAAATTTTTAGACAGTTGAACTGTTACTGATTTGAGTAAGTTTAATACTGTATTAACTATGTATTAACATGGAAAGCTGACTGTAATTTGTTTGACAGGTAAGTTTATATACATAAATGTGCCTATATTTCAGTATATTTTATATTTCTCTATCTATATAAATATTATCTCAAATAAAAAATTAAAAAGAAAAATTTGAATATATATATATATATATACATACATATATATCTTTAGACTGACATTGCTTCTTTTTTTATAAAAGGTTCTGCATTTATTATTTTTGCGCATTAAGATTGTGCCTGAAGGTAAAAATAACTTTGTGCATTGTAGTCTAAATTCTTTGTTAAATTAAAAATAATGTAAAATGTAAAATTTGTATAAAATGTAAAATAATGTAAAATTTTGTTTTATATTTTTAATGAACAACTTCTTTATATAAACTTATAAAAATATATGAATATCAATAAATCTTAATTTAAAATTCTTTATCTTTCTAATTTAAAAGTCTTTGATTAGAAAAGATCACAATTTGTAAAATTATTTTACGTTCATTTATTCATTCGGAATAGTAGTATAATCACTGGTAATGTGTTTAATGATAACAGATGTATAATATTAGGCTCGAAGATGTTTTTAGTGTAAATGGTAATAGGTGACTGGAAAAAAATTGTTGTCAAATGAAAGAGATGGATTTAAGCCTGATAAAATTAATTGTCAGAAATTCTGCTCGATGAACAGAAAACTTACTTGAAAGAATTCAATGTCAAGCGGTGTTGGTGTCAATTAATTTGATTTTACATTAGACACTTTAGAATAAAGCAAGGTATGAATTTTACTATTTATAGTAACAATTAATAACAGTTTCAATTTTAAATGATTTTATTTTATTTTTTTTATTTTTTTTCCAAACATTTTGTTCTTTTTTTTTTAGTTGCCTTTGAATCACTTGATTATTTTGCTTACTGTTGAAACATGGTTTTAATTTTGTAAATTTAATATGATGTGAAATTTACTTTATTAATCATTAGTCAATAGTTAGAGAGAAGCTGAATCTTAATTAAGCAATGCTGGAAATTAACTTTTAATTCAGGTAAAAATAATTTTGTTTATTGGTAGCATAAAATCAGTTACTGTTTTTTATTGCATATCTTTTTTACTTTTTTTAACATGCTGCTTTTGAAACACTTCCTCTCTCTCTCTCTCTCTCTCTCTCTCTCTCTCTCTCTCTTAGATGAGACTTAAATGACAGTAAGTACAGGGAGAATTGATAAAACTCGTGTAATTACTGAGCTCTTGCGCATTTTTCAATACTACAATTGATAATGACCATTTATAAGATATATTTTACGAGTTGCTATTTAAAGATATAATTCTTTAAATTGTTCAACTATAGTTGTCCCTTGGTTGTTCAAATATTGTAATAAAGAAAATCTTTTTAGTTTCAAGTATTTTACTTTAGGGATCGTCCATATATTACATAATGCGAAATTAAACTTAATTAAGACAAAAGACATATCTCAAAAGTCGTGTTTCTCTCATAGCCAACTATATGTTGCATGTTCAAAAACTAGAACATTTCATAGTTTGTTTTTCACAATTGTTAAACATCCTATCAAGGTGAAAAGTGAACACAAATAGTGTTATACTTTCTATTGTTTTTAATTAATTATCTTTAGATTTTTATTTCGAAAATTTACTGTTAAAGGTTGTGAGCATGTGTAACTTTATTTTTTTTTTCCCATAGTTTTTGATAAATATATCTGTCATTTAATATAAAATGTGTTTATATGTCTTATATAAAGTCATATTTGTTTATAGCTGTATATATGTTTATATTGAGTTGTTTCTATGTTTTCAAAGTGGTGTGACTTGGTATTATGTTGAGCAAGTTTGATATCCTTGCCAGCCAAGCGGTGTACTTATAGCAGTGGTGTGACTTGGCAGCATTTAATGCTAGGCAGTGTTACTGCTTTAGAGCTAGGTTGTGTTGTCTAGCCTTTTTAAATTATTCTGAAAACACATAATAATGTCTGTTAATGTTTAGCGTAATGTGTTTAACGCTTTAATGTCCTAAATTTGAAATAATTGAATAACTAATATTGAATATAAAAACAAATATACTTTATTTAAAGTTTAATAAAAAGATAAATATAACTCTAAAATAATTTTTTAATTTTGCCTTTCATATTTTAATTTAGTTTGTTATTTTCACTGGATTTTATTGCTATGTGTTATTGTTGTGATGTTTTGTGTTGATAGACAGCTTGGCTTACCTTCCCGTTGGCGTCTATTGTTTCATAGTTTGGCGTCTATTGTTTCATTGTTTCATTATTGAATCATAGGTAGTTTCATTATTGGAATTTACTGCTTTTATTTATTTACTAAAAACGAAGACAACATTTTGCTAAAAGTGCAATTTAAATCTTAGTTTGATTTTTTTTTGTTAATCCTTTTGTACTTCATAACAGATTTTATAGTTACATTTTTGATAAAAGTTTATATTAACTGCAATTAAAGTAACTATAAATAGGTAAATCGATTTTCAATTTTTATGAAATCGATTTACCAATTTATAGTTACTTATTTTGAAATTTGGTGTTTTTTTTTTTTTTTTTTTTTTTTTTTTGTAATTATGATGTAATTCCATTACTTTTTATTTTAGATTTACGTTATGACACATAAGATTTATAAAAAAAACCTGATTTCCTTTTATTGTAAGTTTTTGTTAGTTAAAAAGATATAAATATATGCAATTAGTTCAGTTTTTTTTTTTTTTTTTTTTTAATGCCTAATAATTTGTTGTACGTATCTTAGGGGATCTTTGTTAACGGGGGTCGTAACTAAAAACTTTTAAAAACATGGAGAATACTGTAGTTTTGCGCATTTGTCAAATATTGATTTACTTATGTTTTATTTGCATATTTAACTAATTAGCTGCATTTGCAACACTTTTGAGGAAAGAATAATTGTTTGTAAATAAAAATGTAAATCATTGTTTTACATTTTTATTATTTTAGTTAAAGAAAAACTTGATTACTCTTAATAAAAAAACTCTTAATAAAAAAAACCCTACTCACCAGGCCACCATTAAAGCAAGAAGAGGGGAGGAACCTCTTTACTTGTGTTAAAATATTTAGGAAAATTAAATTTTGAGTAACAAAAGGAATTTTTAGTAAATGATAGCAAATGACCGTTTACTAAAAATTAATGAAATAAACAGGCCAAACAAATAATATAGAAATGGTCTATGTTGAACAGACTTAACAAGACCCGGGTCCGGTCATAGTAGGTATTACTAGTGACTTTCCCATGGACTGAATATATAGTTTATACGAGAGATCAGTAGTGAAATATTAAAAAGACGTAGAGGGCTTAAGCTGAAAAGAAATTAAGTAGTAAATATACGGCCAGCCAACTTCAAACCTTAGCTGACTTCGAACCTACATTTAATTTTACTTAATGACATTTATTTGGATTTATAAACGTTTAAAAAAAATTTTACTAATCTATGGGCTATGTAAAACAACAATGACATTAATTTTAGTTCAGCTAGTGGCATGTACGCAATCAAAATTTAAAATATTTATTGAATCGCAATCAAATTTTGTTATTTATGTGCCCCAAGAAGTCCTAACGGTCTTGTCACAGAGCACCGCGGAAATGGATTTAACCAGAAAGTTCACGCGCCCTTCCTTACTGTGACGCGAAATATATTAAAGGCTCATTTCAAACCCAGATCCCCGGCTTATAAAGCAAGCGCTCTAACCACTAATATATAAATATACCTGGTTTATTTGCACCATGAATCAGTATTATTAACCAGGTTGCCAAAATCGGAAACTTAGTTCCATTTAAGTTAAGGAATAAAGTGCGCCTACTTTGTACCTTATTAAAATTTTAAGCCTTGCAACAAAGATTTCTTTATAAGATGTTAGCAAATGATTTAAAAGTTTTGAAAATTATAAGCTACTTTCAAAATTAAAAAAAAAAAAATTTATGGGATACGATAAAAAGTTGAATTGTGTTATTAGTAACATAATGTTACCAAATAGAAATAGTTAATGTACTTTATCAAATTAAACAATGCATTGGCAAAAATGTCGCAATTAAATACGCAAATAATATAAACTTATTTTAAACAATTGTAGTCTAGACTAGGGTAATTCTATCCCGGGGAAATTCCACCCTCTAAAAAGATATGGAGCAATACAAATAAACTAAAAAAACTTGAACCACTTTTAGTTCATGTTTTTGATTGCCAACTTTCTGTTTCTCACTAAGTATATGCTTCCTGTATCCATACTGATTTAGAAATTTGTTTATGAAACTTTTTTTGGAAATACAAAATCATCTTCAATCTAAGTACCATATATGTACTTTAAAATACATTTTAAAATATATTTTTATTGATCATCATACTTTTATTAATCATCATTTATTTTTTGGATGTGTTTAATGTGTACAGAGATGATACAATTTTTAATTTCACAATTTGAACCTTTGCTTGTAAATATCCTTAGGCAACATGTTAATTTAGTAGTATTAATATCTGTATATGGTATTAATATCTGTATATATATATATATATATATATATATATATATATATATATATATATATATATATATATATATATTTATATATACATATATAGGGGTGATTGATTTTCCCTATATTTAAATATATGCATTCAAATTATAGCTTATTTAATAATGTATGTTGTTCTCCTTTCAAATTAAAATTTGTAAAAATTAAACTTTTAAATCACATCATTGGTTACTAGTTTGAGCTTAAAAGCCTTAAAAAAAATTGTAAACTAAATGTTTTACATATCTATCTGAAATCATAACTTCAAAACAAAGCAGAAGATCAACAGATAGTAAGTTTGTTTGGTTTAAAATCTGAACCTTGCTTGACATAAAGTATTGGATCATATCTGCAACTTGTATTTGGAACAGCAATCTATATTAAACAAAAAGTTGACCATTTTCAGGTGCTTGCTTGACTGAACTTTAAATGATCTTAAATTACTTTATCATAATTGCTATTGGCGTTGAACTAAATTTCCATATCCAAATTCATATACTTGTTTATAGTAAATGAACAACAACAGAACATAAATCTATACATACACTATTTGGCAAACTTTTTATTTTAAGCTTCGTTAAAAGTAGATTTGTTAACTTAACTTGCTATAAAACTGTATACTTTTTATAAACTTTCTTCCTGCCAATTTAGATGGGGAACATTGTAAAAATTGATCAAACCATGTTACGTAAAAAGATACACAAAAATATTATCGAAAACATGATGCATATTTTTCTTTAATTTGAAAATCTTTAGTTTTCTTTTCTTGCACACAAAAACTTTAATTCTCTTTGAAAAAAAATGTTTTTCAAAAATACACCAGAATTCAATATGGTATTTTCATTTGTTTATACCCTGTGTATAATAGGTTGATTTTTAAATTGGCTAAAATATAAACCATCACCATAGCTTTAGAGATAGCAATTACAATTGTATAAACCTGGATAATATAATGATATGATTTTATTATTTATGATATTATAGGTATTTTTATTGTTATTATTTTTATTATTATTACTGTTATTATAAAATAAATGTTGCTCCTATTGCTTTTATTTGTTGTTATTGTTTGCATAAAGTTTCTTATCATAGTAGAAGCACTAAGATTAAAAAATAAAGATAAAACTCAAGAATGTGCTTGTTATAACTTTACTAGACATTTCATGCATGTTACACTCAAATTTGGTTTTAGAAATAATTCCTTAGTCATCCTCACAAAATGACTAATAAACAAACCAACTACAGTAAACATGTTATGATTTAGTTTTCTTTATTATCAAAATATCTTAACAATCGCGGTTCACTTTGATATTATGATCACAAATAATATTCTAATATCATGATTTAAATATAAATTGTATAAAAACATTTGTATTATAGTATAAAATCATGTTTCACAAATTTTGTATTGAGTTACTATTTGATAAAAACATTTTACCACGCATGACCAATAATTAAATATTCTCATAAAACCATTGTCATAAAACAAATAATTTAACAATGCTTTTTGCATCTTAAATACTTAATTATTCGTCACCTAACTTTACGCTATGGAATCATGTTTCTACCGTAATAATCGGGTCCCATGTGCATCGCGTTCACGTAATTTTAATATCTGTTCAATCAGCCCTAAATATTTAGATGATTGCATGCTTTCATAGCATTTCATAAGTTATTTTTTTGTGTTACACTTAAATATATCATTTTCCTCACTTTATCTATAAATGGTGCATTATTACGTCTACGACGTAAATAATGCACCATTTGTCTAGGATTACTTTCTCTCTTATTATATTCAATTTTTTCTATTTTATTTTTAAAAATAAGTTTATATTGGATAAAAATAATGCTTTATTAAAAAAAAAGCAAAAAATGATCAAACATTTGTATATAAAACAATCCAATCTGGTTTTGTATACAGATAAAATAGGATGATATGTCTTTAAGCAAAGTGGCTTGTTAAACATGAGTGTCTATTTTTAATCTTAAGTGTTGCCTATATAGGGCAGTACTATCAGCTTCCACTTCAAATTCTGATAAATCAAAAAAAAAAAAAAAAAATCAACTACCTTTATTTTGTTGTGTAGAGTTTGTTAATGTGCGAAGTAGTGCTCCTAAACTTTACTTGTTTATAAAAGTAAAAATCTCCAAAAAAATAAAGTTAAAAATTACATCCTAAACTTTTTGCAGGTTAGCAATTTTGGTGTTTTTGTGGCTTTAAAACATTTATAAACTCTTTTTTTTATATACAAATGCTGTATTACATTTACAAACTCTGTTTACATATATATATATGCTCAATGTCAATCCTTGTTGAAATTAATAATAATTCAATCATTTATTTAAAGTTTGTCAGAGTTTATATTTTCATGATGTGTTAATCATAGCTAAGCATACTCACCTTTTTATTTATAATATTTTAAAGACAATATCTTATTGATTTTTATCTGTAAATATATCAATAGGTATTTAAGTAAAAAAAATATTAGCCCTTCTAAGAGAAAAGAAAACTGATAATATATTATTAATATATTTATTTATCTATAAATATTAAATTTATTTAACTTTTTATTAGATTTATTTATAATTTTAATTACAATTCTTTTTAGTTAAGGAAATGCAATTCGATAAGATGCATAAAAAAAAATCATATTTTGTTGATAGGAAATTCTATCCGAGATTAAAGGAGGTAAGCAGTTTTAATTTGTTCTTTTAGTTCAACGATCAACGATCAATGATCGTCTACTTTTGGAAAAAATGATATTTTGATCTCCCAAAATCAAATCTGGACGATCAAATTTGATAGACAAGACAACTTTATATTAAAAAATTCAAAAACATTCTAAAACAAACGCCATCAAAAACCTTAAAAAGACAAAAGTAAAAACATCAACAAAAAAACGTTAAAATTAAAACATTGGTTAAAAAGCTATTACAATATTTTTATAAACAAAAACTTCATTACCCGTTAATGAACATATTTTAATGAATCAAATTTTTTTTAATGAATGAGTTTTTTAATGAATTAGCATTATTGTTTAGAAAAAATTTTATGTGAAAAATAGTAAATAATGTGAGTTTATGATTGGTAGAAAGAATGTTGACTTCATAAAACGTCATAATTTATACGTCATAACATCAATTTGCTTTAAGCAAAATAAAATTGTTTTTGTTTAAAATTTTTAGAAAATAAGTTTTAGAAGCATTGTAATAAAATTGTATAAAAAGTATAAAAATAAATATAGAAATCAGGATCTGAAACACCCGCTAAAAATAAAGTAAAAGTTTACGAAAGAAAATTACAATTACAAACAGTATTTTATTTGTTTTTCAAATAAATATTCTTGTGTTAAAGTTTCAATCAACAAATGTTTTCTTAAAAGTTCCAAATATTTCTTCTATAGTGTTTTTTAAAAAAACTATCATTTCTTTTTGGTAACCAAAACCGAATAAGTTCAATTAATTCTCAAGTAGCTTTTTCATTGCGTAAAATGCGAAAGAAAAAAACGTTTTTGCAATTAAACTTTGAATGAATGATACTTTAATTAAAAGTGCGTGTTTTTTTCAATTTCAAATAAACTTTGAATTTTAAAATCTTTGAATAAATGATAACTTCGATCCAGTTTTCGTGTTTTTGTCAATTTACGAAGATAGTCGATGTAGCAACATTTACGCATGTTTTAAAAATATTTTTAAATAAAACAAAAACAAAAACACCACTAATTAAAAAAAACTCATTATTATTGCAGTTTTTAAAAAAAATTTTAAAAAACAATAAAATTTAATGTACTTCCGCATTAATTTAATTGCTTTGACATTTCGACGACAATCAAATACAGCTTAAGAGACGAGGTAATTAA